TATATATATATATATATATATATATATATATATATATATATATATATGTTTATATATATATATATATATAAACAATTAATAATAAATTATAATTAAATAAAAAATAAAATAACTAAACAAATAAATAATTAAATATAAATATTAATAAATAAATAATATTTATATTAATTAATAAAAATATTTATATACAGTTGATCGATACACCTGAAACAATAAAAAACTAATACTGACAACTAAACCAAACTAAACAAAAAAATATATAATTATAATTAAAAATTAATTATTATAATTAAATAAAAAATAATATTTATAATAAAATAAATAATATTTATAATAAAATAAATAATATTTATTATATAATAAAACATGAATAAGAACGATAGCTACCAGCTGATAGATACAACCAAACGAATATCAACTGATAAATATAATTAAATAAATAAATAATAATTTAATTTAAAAATTAAAATAAAAAAATAAAATTAATATTTATAATTAATTAATAAAAATAAAAAATTAATAAATACAAGAAGAGAACGCGCTGGTGTTGAGTGGCGAGCGCGAGTGCTGCTGCTGCAGCGGCCTGCAGAAGGGGAGAGGAGAGAGAGAAATAAATATAATAATTTATATAAATTAATATTTTAATTTAAATATTATAATTATATTTATAAAGACAACAAAAAAACTTTTTATTCTCCTCGCAATAACCTACACAGCCCCTGCTGTATGTACACACAGCCGCCGCCGCCGCCGCCGCATGCACAGCGAGCCCCCCATAGTTGCTGCATCTTTGTTGTTTTTTTTTGCCTTTTGTTTGTTTTTCTATTTACTTCTACAGTAATTTAAGACATGCAGGGAGACGCACAGAGGCAGAGAGAGCTGTAGCACAAACAGCAGCAGCAGCAGCAGCAGCAGCAGCGGCAGCAGCAGCAGCAGCAGCGGCAGCAGCAAGACTTTCTTAGGGCCTCCTGTGGGTTGTGTTGTTCTCCTTTTACCTTTTACTATATTAAGACGCGAGGCCTCAACTCCTCGGCCCCTCTATACGCATTTCTGGGTATAAGTACCCAGTGAGCAGCGAGCAGCAGCAGCAGCAGCAGCAGCAGCAGCAGCAGCAGCAGCAACAGCAGCAGCAGCAGCAGCAGGAACAGACAAACAGAAGATGAGCTATGACCGAGCAATCACCGTCTTCTCCCCTGATGGGCACCTCCTACAGGTGACGCAGTATACAGCAGCAGCAGAACCTTACGTGCTGCAGCAGCAGCTGCAGCAATGCCCCCCCCAGGAGCAGCAGCAGCAGCAGCAGCAAGAGCAGCAGCAGCAGCAATAACAACAACAGTAGTACTGGTATCCACTGTGGTTTTCCTTATCGTATGTGTGTTGCAGAAGAGACAGGCTTGCATATTGTGCAGTTGACTTTACAATCTAGGGTTTAGGGTTTAGGGTTTAGGGTTTAGGGTTTGGGGTGTATGTACAGGTGGAGTACGCCATAGAGGCGGTGAGACGGGGGGGCTGTGTTGTCGGCGTGAAGGGGCGGGACGCTGTGGTGCTGGCAGTAGAGAGAAAGGCAGCAGCAAAGCTGCAAGAGCCCAGGTAACACCCAAACCCTAAACCCCAAACCCTAAACCCCAAACCCTAAACCCTAAACCCTTAGTTACAGCTGTCAGTGGCAGCGCTGAAACCGCTAATTCTGGGTCTTTGTGGGCATGAGGGTTTATAATTTAGTCTGTTGATTGTAGCATGTAGGATCCAGGGTTTAGGGTTTAGGGTTTAGGGTTTAGGGTTACGGGTCTAGAAAAACACAAGGGTTTAGGGTTTAGGGTTTAGTGTATCGTACCTAGGGTTTAGGGTTTAGGACGAAATATCTATAACAACGTCTCTAACGTAATACAATTAACTATACATACAATATATGCATATACATATATATATATATATATATATATATATATATATATATATATATATATATATATATATATATATATTCTCTCTGTACAGAACAAGCCGCAAGCTGGTATTGATAGACGAGGGTTTATGTTGCGGGTTTGCGGGGCTGCATGCGGACGGGCGCGTGCTGCTAGCGAAGGCCCAGCTAGAAGGCCAGAGCTACAGACTCAACCACGACACCGCCCCCACTGCTGACTACATGGCCAGATATATTGCGCAGATACAACAGGTAAC